GAAAGAGAGAAAAGAGAGGGAGAAGTGGAAAGAGAGGGTAAGAGAGGGAGAAGGTGGAAAGAGGAGGGAAAGAGAGGGAGAGTGGAAAGAGAGAGAAAGAGAGGGAAAGTGGAAAGAGAGAGAAGAGAGGGAGAAGTGGAAAGAGAGGAGAGGAGAGAAGTGGAAAGGAGAAGAGAGGAGGGAGAGTGGAAGAGAGTGTAAGAGAGGGAAAGGTGGGAAAGAGAGGGAAGAAGTGGAAGAGAGAGGAGAGAGGGAGAATGGGAAAGAGGGAGAAGAGGGAGAAAGGAAGGAGGGTAAGAGAGGGAGAAGTGGAAAGAGAGAGAAAGAGAGGGAGAAGTGGAAAGAGAGGGTAAGAGAGGAGAAGTGGAAAGAGAGAGAAAGAGAGGGAGAAGTGGGAAAGAGAGGGTAAGAGAGGGAGAAGTGGAAAGAGAGGAAAGAGAGGGAGAAGTGGAAAGAGAGGGTAAGAGAGGAGAGGAAGTTGGAAAGAGAGGGTAAGAGAGGGAGAAGTGGAAAGAGAGGGAAAGAAGTGGAAGAGAGAAAGAGAGGGAGAAGTGGAAAGAGAGAGACAGACACTACCTAGGCAAAATATGATGATTGTCATAATTGCATATCATATTTCCTTCTCTGACTGGAGCAGTATATTTATTCATCAATCTGCCTATCTATCTATCTATCTCACTATATCTGTCTATCTATCTATTCATCTATCTATATCTTTCTATATTCCTTTTTATTTCCCCCTATCCCATCCTTCTCTTCTTAAAAAAGAAAAGAAGAAAAAAAAAATTTCTTCCTCATCCCTCTCCTTTTTTTCTCCTTTTTTCTCCTTCTCTCCTTCCCTCCCTCCCCCCCCCATCATCTTCTCTCCCCTCTCTCTTCTCTCCCCTTTTCTCTTTTTCTCGCTTCATCTCCTTCCTTTCCCCCCGTCATCTCTTCCCCTCTTCTTTCCCTCTCCTCATCTCCTTCTCTCCCTATCTCTTTCCCTTCCCCTCACCTCCTTTTCCCCCACATCTCTCTCCCGTCATCTTCTTCCCTCCCTCTTCTCTCTCTCCCTTTTCTCTTCCCTCCCCCCTTCTCCTTCTCTCCTTCCCTCCCCTCATTCCCCTTTCCCCTCCCCTCTCTTTCCTCCCCTCACCTCCTTCCCTCCCCTCTCTTTTCCCTCCTATATCTTCCCCTCTCCTCATCTTCCCTCCCCTCTCTTTCCCACCCCTCATCTCCTTTCCCTTGTTCTCCTTCTCTCCCTTTTCTCCTCATCTCCTTCTCTCCCCCCTTATTCCTTCTCCCCTCATCTTTTCTCTCCCCTCATCTCCTTCTCTCCCCCCTTCTCTTTCTCTCCTTCCCCTACCCATCATCTCTCCTTCCCTCCCCTCTTTTTCCCTCCTCATCTCCTTCTCTCCCCCCTTCTCCTTCTTCCTTCCCTCCCCCCTTCCCCTCATCTCCTTCTCTCCCTTCTCTCCCCTCCTTCTCCTCATCTCCTTCCCTACCCCCATCACTCTCCTTCCTCCCTCTTTTTCCGTCCCTCATCTCCTTCTCTCCCCCCTTTCTCCTTCTCTCCTTCCCTCCCCTTCTTCCCTCCCTATCTCTCTTCTCTCCCCTCATCCTTCTCTCCCCTTTCTCCTCTCTCCTCTCTCCCCCCTCATCCCTCCCCCTTCTCCTTCTCCCTCCCCCTTCCCTCTCCCCCTCTCCTTCCCTCCCCTCCCCTCTTTTTTCCTCCCCCCTCCTTCCCTCCTCCTCATCTCCTTCTCTCCCCTCCCCTCTCATTTCCTTCCCCTCATCTCTCCTTCCCTCCCCTCTTCACCAGCACGTAAGCGCATTCACAGCATGCATATGTAACTCCCCCGCCCAACTTCTACACTAACTAGCATGTCCCATTGCGGATAATATGTATCAAACTTGTACTAACATAACCGCAGGCTGTAAAGGCATCATGTTCATAGTGCCAAGGATGTGAGTTCAATCCCATGGGGTTTGGTATATTACGATTTTTTTTTTTTTTTTTTTTGGGGGGGGGGGGGTTATTTCAAGTATGTTATATATTTTTTGTTTGGTTTTGTTTGGTTTGGTTATCTTAAGTATGTTATATATTTTTTTTGGTTTGGTTTGGTTTGGTTATTTCAAGTATGTTATATATTTTTTGTTTGGTTTTGTTTGGTTGGTTTGGTTTGGTTTGGTTATTTCAAGTATGTTATATTTTTTTTGGTTTGGTTTGGTTTGGTTTTGTTATTTCAAGTATGTTATATATTTTTGGTTTGGTTTGGTTTGGTTTGGTTTGGTTATTTCAAGTATGTTATATATTTTTTGTTTTGTTTGGTTTGGTTTTTTGTTATTTCAAGTATGTTATATATTTTTTTGTTTGGTTTGGTTTGGTTTGGTTTTAATTATGTTATATATTTTTTTGTTTTGTTTGTTTGGTTTGTTTTGTTATTTCAAGTACGTTATATTTTTTTGTTTGGTTTTGGTTTGGTTTGGTTATTTCAAATCAAGTATGTTATTATTTTTTTGTTTGTTTGGTTTGGTTTTGGTTTTAGTGTTTGGTTTTTTTTGGTTTTTTTCTTCTGTTATTTCAAGGACATTGTATATTGCATTTTTTTTCGTTTTTTCGGTTTTCGTGTTTTTTTTCTGTTATTTCAAGCAAATTATATATTTCCTTTTTTTCGTTTTGTTGCTGTTGTTGTTTTTGAGGGGGGGGGGTATTTGAAGCACATTATATGTTACTTTTTTTTTAGTTTTTCGCTTTCGTTTTTTTTATTATTATTATTATTATTATTGTTATTTCGAGCCATTATTGTTTTTTCTGTTTTCAAGTACATTATTTCTATTTTCTTTTTTTTCGTTTTTTCGCTTTCTTGTTTTCTTCTTCCTTCCGTTATTTGAACACATTATATTTACTTTTTTCGTTTTTTTTCTTCTCTTTCTTCTTTCTTCTTTCTGTTATTTCAAGTTTTATATTCTTTTTTTCTTTTTTTATTCTTTTTTTCTTCTTCTTTCTTCTTCCTTCTGTTATTCAAGCACATTATATATTCCTTTTTTTCTTTCTTTTTTTTCTTTTTCTTCTTTTCTTCCTTCTTTATTTCAAGCACATTATATATTATTTTTTCATTTTTTTCATTTTCCTCTTCTTCTTCTTCTTCTTCCTTCTGTTATTTCAAGCACATTATTTTATACTTTTTCTTTTTTTCATTTTTCTTTTTCTTCTTCTTCTTCTTCCTTCTGTTATTTCAAGCACATTATTTATTATACTTTTTTCTTTTTTTTTTCTTTTTTTTTCTTCTTCTTCTTCCTTCTGTTATTTCAAGCACATTATATATTATACTTTTTTTCATTTTTTTTTTTTTTTTTTTTCTTCTTCTTCTTCTGTTATTTCAAGCACATTATATATTATACTTTTTTTCATTTTTTTCATTTTCCTCTTCTTCTTCTTTCCTTTCTGTTATTTTCAACATTATATTTATACTTTTTTTCATTTCCTCTTTCTTCTTCTTCTTCCTTCTGTTTATTCAAGCACTTATATATTATTACTTTTTCGTTTTTTTTTTTTTTTTTCTTTTTCTTCTTCTCCCTTCTGTTATTTCAAGCACATTATATATCATTTTTTTCGTTTTTTTTCATTTTCCTTTTCTTCTTCTTCTTCTCCCTTCTGTTATTTCAAGCACATTATCAAAATTGCTTTCTGTTTTCCCTCTGGTCTTCCTGTTATGCGTGTCTCCTGTGTTGCATGATGAACTTCTGACATACGGAAGCAACATTGATTCTTGCAAGAGAAAGGGAGAGGGAGAGGAGAGGGGAGGGGGAGGGAGGGAAGAAGGGGGATGTTGGGAGGGTTTGAGGGAAGGGGGAAGGGGGGAGGGAATGGTGTGGGGATAGGGAGAGGGGGAGGAGGGAGTTGGAGGGTTTGAGGGAAGGGGAAAAGGGGGGGGGGGATGGGTTGGGTGAGGGAGGGGAGAGGGGGAGGGGGGGAGGGGGAGAGGGGACTGAGGGAAGAGGGACTGAGGGGAAGGGGGGAGAAGGGGAGGGAAGAGGGGGAATGGGTGGGAGAGGAGAGGGAAGGGGGGGGGTTGGGAAGGATGGAGGAGGTGGAGTGGGGAGTGGGGGGGAGGAAGAGGGGAGAGGGACTGAGGGAAGGGGGGGGATGGGTGGGAGAGGGAAGGGAAAGAGGGTGGGGGGGAGTGGGAAGGATAGAGGGAAGGTGGGAGGGGGGAATGGGTGGGAGAGGAAGAGGGAGGGACTGAAGGAAGGGGGGGATGGGTGGAGAGGGAGAGGGAAGGGGGGCGTTTGGGAGGGATGAGAGGGGGAAGGGGGGGGAAATGGGGCGTGAGAGAGAGAGGAGAGGGGGAATTGGGGGAGGGATTGAGGAGAGGGAGAGGGGTGGAGGGGGAGTTGAAGGGATTGAAGCGGGGGAAGGGGGGAATGGGTGGGAAAGGAGGAGGGGGGGGGTTGAGGCAGGCGTGAGGGGAGGTAATGGGTGGAAGAGGAGAGGGAGGGGGGAGGGGGTAATGGGTGGGAGAGGGAAGAGGGGGGGGAGTTGGGAAGGATGGACGGAAGTGGAGAGGGGGAGGATAGGAGAGGGAAGGTTGGGGTGGGAGGAGAGGGAGAGAGGGGAGGGAGTTGGGGAGGGATTGAGGCGGGGGGGGGAGGAGAGGGAGAGGGAAGAGAAACGAAAATTAAAGGAACAAGAAACAGAAAGAGAAACAAAGAAAGAAACAGAGAAAGAAAAAAGGAACAAAAGGAAAAATAAAGTATCACAAAGGGATAGAAAGAAAAAAAGAAACCGAAAGAGCAATACAAAAAGATGAAGAAAGACAAACAGAAAAAAAAAGACAGAGAAACAAAGAAAACCAAACAAAGAAATAAAGAACAAAGAGAAACAACAAAGAAAAAAGAAAACAAAGAAAAAAAAGTAAAAAAGAAAAACAAACAAAGAAAAACAAAGAAAAACAAAGAAAAAACAAAATATCCCAAAGACAAAAAACAAAACAAAAAAAACAAACACACATCGCCAGGAGCAGACCCAACCAACACCCGAACCTCCCAAAGACACGCGCGCAGACGAGACAGGACAGACAGCCACGCCGTCACCCACCGATCCCCCACGCCCACGCCCACGCCCACGCCCACGCCCACAAGTTCTCCCGAAGCCTGCCTCACCCGGCGCAGACGAGACAGGAGACAGCCACGCCGTCACCCACCGATTCCCCCACGCCCACGCCCACGCCCACGCCCACGCCCGCAAGTTCTCCCGGAAGTGCCTGCCTCACACGCGCGCAGACGAGACAGGACAGACAGCCACGCCGTCACCCCACCGATTCCCCACGCCCACCGCCCGCCCACGCCCACGCCCACGCCCGCAAGTTCTCCCGGAAGTGCCTGCCTCACACGCGCGCAGACGAGACAGGACAGACAGCCACGCCGTCACCCACCGATCCCCCCCGCCCACGCCCACGCCCACGCCCACGACCGCAAGTTCTCTCGGAAGTGCCTGCCTCACACGCGCGCAGACGAGACAGGACAGACAGCCACGCAGTCACCCACCGATCCCCCCGCCCACGCCACGCCCCACGCCCGCAAGTTCTCCCGGAAGTGCCTGCCTCACACGCGCGCAGACGAGACAGGACAGACAGCCCCGCCGTCACCCACCGATTCCCACGCCCACGCCCACGCCCACGCCGCAAGTTCTCCCGGAAGTGCCTGCCTCACACGCGCAGAACAGGACAGACAGCCACGCCGTCACCCACCGATCCCCGACGCCACGCCCACGCCACGCCACGCCCACGCCCCGCAAGTTCTCCGGAAGTGCCTGCCTCACACGCGCGCAGACGAGACAGGACAGACAGCCACGCCGTCACCCACCGATCCCCCGCCACGCCCACGCCCACGCCCACACCCGCAAGTTCTCTCGAAGTGCGCTGCCTCACAGCGCGCAGACGAGACAGGACAGTACAGCCACCGCCGTCACCCACCGATCAGCCCCGCCACGCCCACGCCCACGCCCACGGCCCGCAGTTCTCCCCGGAAGTGCCTGCCTCACACGCGCGCAGACGAGAAGGACAGACAGCCACGCCGTCACCGACACCGCCCCCCCACCGCCCCCCACGCCCACGCAACACGGGCCCACAGCCCTGTCACCCACGCCACACGCCCACGCCCGCAAGTTCTCTCCGGAAGTGCCCTGCCTCTCATAGCCGAGGCAACCTTCCCTTCAGGCGAGTTCTATGAGCGAGCCAAATAAAGCCCAATTGAGCAACATGGCAGATTATTACTCGTGCAACCGGCGGCTCTGCAACGATAAGAAAATGGAGAGAGAGAGAAGAGGGAGAGAGAGAGAGAGAGGAGGAGAGAGGGAAGAGGGAGAGTAGAGAGGGAGGGAGGGAAGGGAAGGAGGGGAGGGGGTTGAGGGAGAGGAAGAGGGAGGGAGGGAGAAGGGAGGGAGGGAGGGAGGGAGAAGGGAGGGAGAGGGAGTGGAGGGAGAGAGAGAGAGGGGAGGGAGGAGAGAGAGAGAGAGAGAGAGAGAGAGAGAAGAAGAGAAGAGAGAGAAAGAAGAGAAAGAGAGAGAAGAGAGAGAAAGAGAGAGAGAGAGAGAGAGAGAGAGAGAGAGAGAGAGAGAGAGAGAGAGAGAGAGAGAGAGAGAGACAGACACACACACAACACACACACACACACACACACACACACACACACACAGAAAGAGAGAAGACAGAGAGAGAGGAGAGAGAGAAAGAGAGAAAGATAGATAGATACATAGATAGATAGACAGAGAGAGCGAGCGAGCGAGCGACAGAGAGAGAGAGAGAGAGACAGAGAGATAGAGGGTCGCAAGTCGGTTACAATCAGGGAAGCGAGCGCAGCGTCTATTTAGTATATCGAATTCGCTCCAACTTCGACCTTATTCCGGTGGTGTGGGTAGTGGGTAGGGGGTAGGGGGGTGGGAGGGGGTAATTAATAACAGTATTGATTAAATCTTCATTATCGGGTAATGTGTTTTGATGTAGCGTTGGATTTAAATGATGATTATCGTGTTGGTTTGCGGTCGTGTGTATGTCAGTGTGGGTATTGTGGTGATGTAGTTTCATGGCGTGGTTATTTTGGGGTGGTATTAGCATGGGAATTCTCTCTGTCTATCTATCTATTTCGCATTCTTTCTCTGTTTGTCCATCTATCTATCTGTCTATCTGTTTATCTCTCTATAGCCCTGCCTTTTTTGGCAGACTCTTCTCTATCCATCTAAGATTATATACTATCTATCTATGATAATAATAATAATAATAAAGATAATAATGATGATGATAATAATAATAATATAATAATAATAATGAATAATAATAATAAAATAATAGTAATAATAATAAAGATAATGATACTAATAATAATACTAGTAATAATAAAATCATATACTATCTATTTATGATTATAATAATAATGATGATGATAATAAAATAATAATAATAACAATAATAATAGCAATATTGATGAAGTAACAATGATAATCGTAATCATAAGAAGATAATACAATATGAAGAAAAATGATAACAACAGTAATAATGATAATAATAACAATGACAATGATAGTTATATCATTATTATTGATGGTAATGATAATAATATCATTATAAATGATAATGATGATATATCTTTATAAATAATAATTGATGATTATAATGATGAATAACAATGGAAATAGCAAAACAATAGTAATAGGGATTATGATAATAAGGATAATGATGATGATGGTGATAATAATAATAATAATAATAATAATAATGATAACAATAATAATGATAATAATAATAATAATATATAATAATAATAATAATAATAAATATAATAATAATAATAAACAATAATAATAATAATAATACATAAATAATGCGAACAATAAAACTATCAATAGTAATGATGATAATAGTAGACTTTGATAACAAAGTCTGAAAAAAATTATGAGAATAGCAGTATAAATGATAAGTGATAATCACACTGATCATTAAATTAACGATATGAAGAATAAAATCAACGCCGAGGATTATGATGATAATATTAATATCTATATGCAATGATACAGATAAATATCATATCAACATTAGAAATAACGAAGTAATGATGATATTAATAAGGAGTCATTCATAATCATAATTCTTATTATTCATAATTATTCATTAATTATTCGTAATTATTATTATTAATAATTATTATTATTAATAATTATTATTATTAATAATTATTATTATTGATAATTCTTATCATTATCACAACTCGATGAAAAGTAGATTTCTGAGCAACACCCCTACCCCCCACCCCCACCCCCACCCCCCACCCCTAAAAGTATACATCAGCGGACGGCAAAATTATGATGAATCATGATCTCTATCTATCTATCTATCTATCTGTGGATTCTTTTTGTGATTCTAAGAAAATAAATGTATGAAATAAAATAAAAAAAACATTTGTATTATTTTGTGATTCTAAGAAAAATATGTATGAAATAAAAATAAAAAAAAAACATTTGTTATTATTTTGTGATTCTAAGAAAAAAAAACTTCTATATGAAATAAAAATAAAAATAAAAACATGTCTTATTTATATTGCTCTTTCACTGTATTAAAACCAAGAGGCTGATGACATGACAAGACAAAGAGATTCACAAGAGAAGAAGTGAAGACACAGGACAGGCTCCAAGACGCCCATTGACAAATCATAAGTTTATATATTCAAAAATGTGTACACCTGGTCTTTACCCCCACCCCCCCCCCACCCCGTGCACGGTTTGTACGCTAGTGATGATGTTGAAAATTTTGGATGACCCTTATGGACACCTGTCAATATGAAAATGGTAGCATTGAAGACAGTGCTATAGATAAAGGCATTACTAGGAGTATAGATGATATTATAAATATATAAAATAATAAAATCGCGACGGAATTATTAGTAAGAGCTCCCCTCCCCCTTCCCCACCACCCCCCACCTCCGCCTCTTCCTCATAAATCCAATTAACAAAGCCTTATGCATCTTTAAAAGCCTATATGGGGCTACGAGCACACAACACATTCCGACATCCGAAGAGGATATAATTGATAAGCCCGTCGCCCTCTCTCTCTCTTTTTTTTTTTTTTAGCTATGTTCCTTTATTATATGGAAGTCTTCAAGGACAAAAGTTTTTTTTTTTTTGCACTAAAAGCAAATAATGAATTCCGACACAAAGGACATATAATAATGATAATAGTAATAATAATAATGATAATAATATAATATAATAATAATAATAATAATAATAATAATAATAATAATAATAATAATAATAATAATAATAATAATAATAATAATAGCAAGATTGATAATAGTAATAATGATAATAGTAATGGTAAAATAATAATAATAATAATAATAATAATAATGATAATATAATAATAATATAGCAAGATTGATATAGTAATAATGATAATAATGGTAATAAAATAATAAACAGTAATAGAAGAATGATAACAATAGTATAATAGATAATAATTAATGATAATGATGATAATAATAATGATAATGATTACAATAAAATGAGGTCGTACCCCCCCCCCTTGCGTTAACTACGTTCGTTTAATAGTTTTTGAAAATCTTTAACCTTTCGAGCCCCAAGGAATAGAGAAGGGAGGTAGCGCCGTGCCCCTTGGACTCACGAAATATTATTTTCTAACTCTGTTTTGTAAGCTTCATTATAATATAGGAAGATTCGCATACTCAATCAAAAGCGTGGATTTTTTTTTTTTTTTTTGTATTCTTATACTATAATGATATGAATAAAGAATAAAAAATAAATAAAAAATTCCACAATTGAAAACAATTTCTGTGTCCTGATTGGCTAGCTATGGCGCCACTCGGGTGACGTCATAGCTCCGCCCCAGTTTGATAGGTCACGTGAAGCAGGAAAGCGCGGATAATTCAAGTGTGTTGACATATATATATATATATATATATATATATATATAATATATATATATATATATATATATATATATATATATACATATATATATATATATATATATATATATATATATATATATATATATATATATATATATATATATATATATATATATATACATATTTATATGCATACATATATACAAACACCTTGCTTTGTCAAAATGGGGCGGGGCTAAGGTAGGCCGCCGAGACGAGATGCCAATTAGTCAATTTCCTTCTGCTCCACATGCAAACACCTCCTTATAAGCCCCCAAGACGAACAATCTTGGGGGACTACGAACACATAACATTCCGACACCTGTAGAAGATAAATTACTAAGCCCCGTAGCCCCATCTCTCTTTACCTTCGTTTAATCACTTTATCATGACAATCTTCGATCTTTTGAGCACCGAATAGAAAGAAACGAAAGCACACGACATATTCCGACAACCACAAGGAACATAATTCTATAAGGCCGTATCCCCCTCCCTCTCTCTCTCTTTAACTACGTTCGCGCTTACTTTATTATGAAAATCTTTAACCTTCGTTTCTCCCCAAGACGACGAAATACCTTTGGGTGAAGGTTATCGAAAACTTTACTGTGTATAAGTCTTATAAGTTTGGTCGGTATTAATACATTATTCTTGGACAAGTATTAGTACCTGGGTCGGTTTAAGACATTTAAGTCGCTTTTCCCAGGATTTTCGAGTTTCTTCTCCTTTCTTTGGTGGGGGGGGAAGGGGGGGAGGGGATGTATGTGGCTTATTGATGTCATAAAGTTGTTTTTGTTGTTGCTTTTGTTTAATTAAATATTATTGACTTATTTGCTGTTTTCTTCTTTCTTTTTTTTTACTAACTTTTTTGTTAGTTCTGTTTCGTAACTTCTAAGTGTTTTAATGTTTTTGTTATTGTTTTTGAATTGGTAATTAATGCCTTGTTGTTTTTGTTTTAGGAAAAGTTGTTGTTTCGTTTTTAAGAAAAGTTGGTGTTTTGTTGTTTTTCCTTGTTGTTGGTTCTGTTCTAGCTGCAGTGTTGTTTTATTATTTTTTGTCGGGTTTAAGTGACATTGTTTTATTCTTGTTTTTGTTTGTATTTTGGTCCCCTTTAAGTTGCTTTGTTGTTTTGCTCTGTTTTAGTCGCTTTGTTTGTTGTTTTTGTTGTTTTGTTGTTATTTCTGATTTAGCTCCTGATTTTGTTGTTTCTGTAATCTCTCGATGCAGCATATTCCTCTTACATACACACACACACACAAATTACATATTATATATATATATATATAT